TTTTTTTTTATTAGAACCCAGAAACTCAATATCTATTTTCTGAAAAACGTGTCTCCCTCTTCTTTCAAAGTTTGCTATTCGTTCAAAACTATAAGGCACCTTGATTTGGTTACAAGACAAAGATTCTAACAATATGTGTCGCCTAAGTAACCATCTGTAACAATTTTATCATTTGGCCATCCTCCTCTTGCCGAGCGCTACTTCTTTGAAACCAGTGTGGACTTGAAAGGTCAGAACGTACCTGAACAAATTTTTATTCACAGTCATTTAAAATACAAGCAGATTTTTATAGACTGGAAGAGGTCAGTGCGTATTGACCTGTGAAAACAATGAAACGGCCAGCGGTGTTAGTTCATTTTGATTTCATAGCAACAGCTTTTTACACACTTTTTTTCCACAAAATCGTTGTTTGCCATGCGGCGAAAAGGTCAACTGAACAACTTCATGAAGAGGTGAGTTCAGAACAATGCAAAATGGAAAACGTGCCAACTGCGCTGACAAAACGAAGGAACACGAGGATGAAACGGTGCAAAGTTCAATCGTGCGGGACTGAGCGACAGTGCGCTTTCATGATGTTACCACCTCGTCATTTTCCTCATTTTTGCGAAACAGTTGACTGAAACACAAATTCTCAGTACTTGCAAGAAAGCGTGAAAATAAAGTCCCAGTAATTATTGCTGGCTATTTAACTTTGCCAGAACTGACAGTCTGACTTTGTACGTCTCGTTTTTGCCCTTTCATTTTTCGATAATAAGCTTTAATACTTATTGATCAAATAAAGCATGTGTAGAACTAAGGGATGAAATGTAGTCTACCTCACGTATTCCACCATTACAGTCTACCATTACAGGTCTCCAGAAGTTTCAAGACGCTTCTTCGAGTTGCATCGCGCGAGTATGAAAAGTTGTTTGAAACAACTGGAAATCCGCATTTGCAAAACGAGGTTCTGGGAAATCTCATAGAGGAAGCCAGTCCTCAGAAAGAAACGTCTACCATGGCTGCGCACCAGGAAATGTCAACGGCTGATTTGACTCAGCGCTCGAATGGTAACGAACAAAGACCAACTGCGATCGTTTTGTTTACTCAGCATCTCGATGAAAATGGAGAAGGACCTTCTACACTCGTAGTTGAGTACAGCGGTGTGGACAAAAACTGGTTAAAGCGAAAATACCCGGAGTGGCATGAAGAACTGCGAAGCACGAATCAAAAATACAAAAGAGCTATTGACCGTATACTATGTGAAATCTCCGCGAGTGGAACGAAAATTTTTGACAATGCAACTCCATCACCTTTAAAATGATTGATGCATTTGTTAACATTCACCGTATGGAATAGTTTTCATGTTGTTAATGCTAGGATTTTATGAATTTTTGAAAAAAATTCAAAGGGCTCTTTTATACTGCTTCAACGAATTTACTAAAAGAAACTTTCCGAGAGTTGGCACAGTGCATCTTTCACCTCACATAATCTGTTAGAATAATGCAGTCCCCAGGAAAAGACATTTCAAGGTAGATACGAAAACTCAACTTGGCCACAAAAAATGCGCTTGTTCGTATTTTTATGCGTTTTTGCTGTGTAGCATCCCGGATTTGACGGCCCTTCGTCTGCAGCATCTCCCACTGTTTAGCAGACACTTGCCTCTCTCTTTCTGCCTGGAAAAGTCGTCGGGAAAAACAGTAGGACCGTCTACTGAAAGGCCCATCACTCTTTTTTAATAATTTTCCCTTTTGTTAGTCACACAAAAGCAACTTTATATACAGCTGAGGTGCTAGTAGCACTGCAAATCTAAAGGTTATGTAAAAGCTGAGTTTATGCTTATGAAGCACATGGAGAGAAAGCATTTTCGTAAAGTATCAGCCTACTACTTACTCAGTGAAAAGCCGGATAGGCATCCGAACACACACACAAGAGCGCATACAGACTTGTTATTTACGGCATGTGCTTTTGCACAGCACCGGTGGTGTAATCCTTGACGACATGCATCTTGTGAGCCCGTGCGATTATGCGTATTTGCAGTGTTTCGTGCTGTGATGAAAACCCAGTAGCTGGAAATATGTAACATACTGGACCTCGAATTTCGAGAAGTTAGTTATCTACGCTGTACTTGGTCAGGGAAGATCCTCTAAAAATTTCAGCCCTCCAGCTTTCCTGGTTCCGGAGTTAATTTTCCCGCCAAAAATTTTCACGGGGCCGTACACAGCAACAACGCATGCCCGGAGCTGAACTTGATAAATTTAGGTTGTAGATGAGCTGGGAAAATTCTCTGAAAATTTCAGTTCCCAGCTTTCCTGGCTCCGGAGTTAGCCATTTTCCCGCCAAAAAGTTTCTCGAGGCCATACGTGAGAACCACGCACAACGAAGAGTTGAATTTGGTAACTTTAAGTTGTGCATGGGCTGTGAACATCCCCTTAAAATTTCAGCCTCCCAGCTTCCCTGAATTTCAAGTTAGCGATTTTCCTACCAGGAACCTTCACCGGCCGTACGCGGGAACCACGCGCACCTCGAGACTGAATTTGAAATCTTTGAGTTCTATGTGAACTGGGAACATAACCTCAAAACTTCAGCTTTCTAGCTTTTCTGGTTTCCGAGTTAGCGATTTTCTCGCCAAAAATTTCACGAGCTCACAAGCGGAGCCTAGACGTGCGTGAGGGTTGGTGCCGCGGTCCTGAGATGGCACTTGGCGAGTAACCCATTCGCAAAATTTTGGCGCTGGAGTTTGCGTGATTGCCGAGTTGAAGTACTCGGACAGACAGACAGAGAGGCAGACAGACGCACACACATACAAACATACACATACACGCACATACACACCGGGTTCGTCGCAATATGCGCTTTCGCATTTGCAGATGTGCAAAAACGCATAAAAATGCATAAATCGTTGGTAAAGCACATCGGGCGGGACCGTACGTTCATGCGTTTTTGCATTATTTCGTGCTGTAGTAAAACTGCTTGGATTCACAATAGCTAGAATTTGTGACATACTGGTTCTCGAATCTCAGGAAGTTAATTGTACAACTGCCACTTAGTATGTGGAAAAGGGACGTTCTGTTAAAATTTCAGCTTTCCAGCTTTCCTGGTTCTCAAGCTAGCTATTTTCCTGCCAAAAGTTATCACGGAACCACATGTGAGAACCACGCGCGTAGGGACTGAGTTTGAAAACTTCCAGTTCTATATGGATAGGGAATGTCCTTTCAAAATTCAGCTTTTCGGCTTTTTACTATTCCCGAACTAGCGATTTCCTCCTAAAAACTTTCACGGGTTGGTACCTGGGTAGTGTGGGCGTCCTTCGTGAGCCGGGAGTTTTCGGCGCTATGGCGACGTGGAGTCTTCCAACTCACAACCAACTTTAATTTTGCGCGTTTTGTGTTCACTGGCCTTATCGTGGCCGGTAGTACGAAGGATAATGTCCAACGGCCATTGAGGGAATACAACAGTGTCGCAAGCTATCGGTAGCACAGAATCTGTCGCAAGCCCGAGCAAAAAGAGAGGGACGAGATACCTCGTACCTCACGCAGCTACTAAGAGGCGAGTCGACAACCGCGCTTTTCGCATCAGGCCCGTGGCTTCCTACTTGAAATTAGCAGCGGCAACCCATCCAGATTTCCGTGATGAAACGGCGACGATGAAATATGGCGAGAGAATTTCCTGTAGGAAGACACAGTTGAAAAAACTACTGTTCTCTGTTCACATGCAATATAGAGCACTATTAAAATTTAGCTGCCGCATTCAAGCTGTTTTAAGCAAGTTTTTTGACGCAGACTACCAAGGTATTAGGAATCTATGTCATTGAGTCAGCACCTATTACTAACCGCATTACGCTACACACGAGCAATCGACCTGAGCTTAACTGATAGTTAGCTACTTTCTACTCTTACAGAATCTTAACAGTTTGTCTACGCATATATTATTCTCTTCTCTTCTAAACTATTTAATACGTCCCCAATTACGTAGCAAAATGGGGCACTGTACTGATGATTCCCACCCCACTTCGCACCAATTTAGTCGTCTGTGTTTACAGTTCAGGGATGAAAAACAGAAGTCACCCAATGCAAGTACTGGTTAGCTTAAATGAGATTATAAAATTTGGCTTCTTTCTTAGAATATTAGATGAACATGTTTCACTATTCTATTCCTCTCTTCTCTTCCAACCCCCATTTTATTTCACTTATTACGTCGCTACACTTTGTCAGCACTAATGCTACTCTTTCCGACACTTCCTAAGTAAGCATGGTCCTCAAGTACGGGTACGAGAAAGATTTGGCTGAAAAATTGTAACTCAGAAGATAAGCAAGCGAGAAAGTTGAAGTTTTAGGGGAATGTTCTCTGTCCATGTACAGCTTAAAGATTTCAAGTTAACTTCCTTAGTGCGCGTGATTCTTTTGTGCGGTCACGTGATTTTGACAGGAAAATTGGTAACTCAGGATCCAGAACAGCCAGATCATTTTCAGTGAACGAAACAGTCGGCGGAATTCCTCCAAAAATCAACAGTAGCGAACGCACAAAAAAAAGCGACAACCATTCGCACAGTTAACGGTCTGACTGCTTCAAGTTTAGTGCAAAAACACACGTTCGCGCAAATAAAAGGCAAGCTTGGTGCTTCCCAGCCTCGGTTTACTATTAAGGCCCGGCTGCGAAGCGAGTTGCATGTCAAAGCTCGCCATCGCATAAATAATCATCATCGCCATTCTTGCTCATGTTTACGTTAAAACGGTTGGTTGTAATGCGTGGTGCAACGGTTTTATCAAGTTGTTTTTTGCAAAATTCAGCAAACGAAGATACGTAGTAGGAGCACGTGAACGTTTGAAATGACGTGATATTATGCTCATGAGACGGTGATTTTAGGTCACCTAGTAAGTCACACCATTGTGAAGGAGGCAGTTACTAAGATTCAGTTCGGCTGGTACTCTAGTATCTCTACTAACGCTGCTTCACGGTGAGGCTCTCTGGCTCCGCTTGGCATTTTACCAGGAGTGCTGGGTAGCACTACTCAATGCACCGCAACTGGAATGCGTGAGTTGGGGAAGGGGGCTGAGTAGGAAACGAGCGAGAGGGAGGGGTTAGGGGAGTAGTTGGCGTGTTTGGAGGCGAGAGAGGAGGGTGGTAGTGGGTGAGTATCTAGATATAACTCCGGGAGCACGAATCAGGGCAAAGATAGATGAGAGGAACAAAGCGGCTAGTGAGAAGAACGGAACGATTAGTGGTGATAGTGTTTGGGGGTGGTGAGTGATGGGTGTCCACTTGTCGCTCTGCAGGCAAGGTCTGGGGACAGGATAGAGGAGCTTATTTATGAAGCTTGTAACTGGTGCTTTGGTAAAGCTGAGAGCTCTCACCATATTTACTTTCAGCTTTCCCCAAGCATCAACTTCATAAATGGGGAAGTCCTTTACTGATAACAGCTTTTTCGCTTGCTGAAAGATCGTATATGACCGAGCCTAACCGAGTTTTAGTTCATTCATGTGCGCTTGGATCACACTCAGTGACACCTAAGTGAACGTAATTTTTTGAAGGAAAAGCGATTTCAGTTTCTAAATAAAATGGGAAGCTGAAATATTTTGTATTTGTGTGAACTAAAGATTTCGTAGTCATGCTCAGTTTTACCGCAAACCCATTTCATATATACGGACATAAAAAAAGTCGAAATTTCACTATTGCTAGCAAAATGTCGACACGGAGACTAATCCGACTGGAGCACTTTTACATACGAAAATATTTGTTTCCCGTAAATGAGTATGTATGCATAAAATGAGCTTTAATGTTCGTCTGTGTCGCTAATTCGGATACAGCAATGTTATTTGGAGCGAAAAATGATTTCGCCATTCAGATATCCGTGATCTTTCTGGGTTTCTTATTTTTCTCTTGTAGGCACTTTTTCTTCCATTCGTTCCCGAAATATCATTTAGCAAAAATGTGTGACGGCAGTAAACTGAAAAGGATATTGCCAAGCCTCTTTTGACTATTCACTGGAAAGGAATGAAAAATTCGGACCTTTCTAGCACTGAATCCGGAGGTGAAAGAAATTAGGCTTGAGAGTCAAGATAAGATAGAAATAGGTGACTATGCGCTTGTTTATTTTAACTAAGGTTATTTGTTTTTTCATTTTGCTTATTAGAAATGTAAGTGTCGAGTGATCACTGGAGATAGCAAGCACTGATGAGGCGATAACCACGAATCCGCGCTGCAGCTAGCATCCAACAGGTAAATTACGTTGGCAGCGTTTCAGTGTCTGTGTCTCCTTTCGTCCAGTGGCACGCCAGCAGATAAGACTACTCCTTCGGTATCCATATTGCCTTTAGGCCGTCACACATCTCTGCTAAATGTTAATGTTTCGGAAAAGAACGGAAAGAAGAAATTCCTAAAAAAAAAGAATAAGAGACCCAGAAAGGTCACAAATATCCGGCTAACGTAACCACATTGTTGTATTTGAATTATCGATACAGAAAACACCAAAGTTCATTTTATGTATACGTACCTATTTTCGAGAAAAAGTATACTCGTATGTTAAAGTGCTCTAATCGGATTAGTCCCCGAGTTGACATTATGCTAGCGGTGGTGAAATTTCGACTTTCTTATGCTCGTATGTATGAAATGGGCTTGCGTTAAAACTGAGCATGAGTATGAAATCTTTTGTTCACACAAATACAAAATATTTCAGCTCCCCATCTTATCTAGAACCTGTAATCGTTTTCCCTTTAAAAAATCACATTGTTTTACACTGAGTGTGATCCAAGCGCCCACGAATGTTAACATCAAAACAGGAAAGTCGCATACGAGGTGGGCTTATTAGCTTCGACTGTTGGGCTGGAAGTAGATGGCAAAGTGCAAACACAGACACACACGACTTCTTGCCGATACATGTTTACATTTGCTTAAATATTCTAAAACGCATAAAAATGACCGATGCTGTAAATTTTCTGAAGTCATGCAGATGATCCATCCATGGCAGTCGTTTACCAACAGCAAGCAAGGAAAACCGGCAAGATTTATAGTAGAGGTCATGGCAAAATAATTTGCTCGTGTTTTCATGGAAATCATTCGGATGAAGAAATTGGGTAGCAAAAATTCTGTCTCTTCCATACTTCAGCCTTCGTGTTTTTTCAGCTATGCAGTTAGCATCTTTCCGGTTGCTCTAACCAATGCTGCACTGCCTGGCAATCAGTCTACTATTAAGACCTTAATGGGAACCAGGTTAACGACTCGTTTCGGAGGGAGAGCAGCTAGCGAGACTATAGCCCTTTCGAGAACTTATTGTTGCGTATATTAGCACCACTATTTCGTCTCGAATTTTGCCATTCCTAAATTACCATGAGAAGAATTTTACTGACTGGAAACACAGTCGATAAATTTTCTTTAAACAACAAATAAATTTTTTAAAGACGGATGAAAAATTTTCAATAATTGTTCTTTTGACAACGAAAATGATGACTCGCTGATAGTTTATCAGTCACTCTGTAATACTTTATTTCAATCGGCTGCAATTTGCAGGCAGACAGTTTTTGAATTTACCAGATTTTACCAAATTCTGGGTCCACACTGCCCTTCTTTTTCTTCTTTTCCCACTGCTATTCCAGTTTGTATTTTTATTTTACTAATTTCTCTTCTTCCTTTTCCAATTTTAATTCACATAAGCATAAACTTTCCTCTTGCATGAATCATTAAGTTTTGAAAGTGTGTCAAACGGAGGGCATAATTGTAGCTTTTTCGTAACAGAAATGGAGGATAAAGTTGCCGCATGCTAATTACCGAAAAATTTTTCGGCGAAAAACCGATGAATGTTGATTTCGGGGAATTGAGCTTCCTATCGTTGACTGTGTGCTTTTTCAACAACATCAAACTGCGACAGCCTGAATGTTTGACTGACTGACCCATCCACTCGATATATAGGAGGAGTGATCAGCGCTCATGAAGCTGATACTGGAAGTTTGCAAAATCCGAATTGGCGTCAGTAGTTTTTATGATCCGCCTGGCAGAGCATCGTAAATAGTTTTCATAATTTGCCTCAGCTCCGACTCTATAAGTATATGTTAGTGACTCATTTTTATCACAAAGCACTGCAGCGGAACCAGGTTTGCGATAAGCCAATATCCCTAATCACCATACCACTTTTTTCCGTTCCTTTCCTCTCCTGCCTCTTGCTCTTTCCCGCCCCATTACTACCGATTTCGGTTGGGTTTCCTCCCAACAACTTCTCTGCGGACTTCATTTATGGCAGTACCATTCTTTTTTCGATACAATTTTCTGTTCTATTCGCACTTTAGACAAGCAGTGTTATTATAAGAGTAAAATTATGACTTATTAGCAATATCCATCCGAGCAAATGATGCTTGGTGCACCTCTTCGCGACAGTAAAGCTATCAGACCCTCATCAGTCGAGCAACGTGTAGAATGTGGTTGCGACCACAAGCGGAAGTAAACTCTGATGAGTAAAGTATGTTGCTTGTCTTACCGACAACCAGTAGATGACGCGTGCAAGTGACTGGTTCTCGCAAAAAAAAGAACATGCGAGGACTTTCAAAGAGGTAGCGCGCTTACTTTCAAGAGGCGTGGGTACTAATTGAAGATCATATGATCATATGCAAAACGGCCTGACGTAGCAAACCCGAAACAGTAGAGACTTATAATTTCAAATTAACAGTGTTTAGAGGTCAACACTTCATACTGGTCAGAGGCTGTTGCACGATTTGAGTGTCATAATACAGCATAACTGTGTAGCTGCCGTTGCTAGTATGCCAAATTTATCATGGAGGCCAGTGGCTCTACATCGCCTTACACACATGTCGTTGTGCTTCATCGTGATGAATGATTTGGTATGTTTTTCAACTGATTCTTTTCAGTACCTTTATTGTAGCTTCTGAGCTCTGATTTAACAACCTGCGGTAAACCTAGCTTCTCCTACTTCCACTCTCATCTTCCTCCCTCGTCCAATTCAAAATAGTTTAGTAAGACAATTTAACATATTTGCCAGTTTAATCTAGATTTTGAGAAAAGCGGGCAACTGCAGGATCAGAATTGCAGTATCCCGTATCAATGCGCATTGTAGTAAGAAATCTGCTGCTAAAATGGATTATGTATGATTTGTTATGAGGACTGCGAGTGCATGTTGAGCCGTAGACCAGTTGAATGTAAAAATAAAGCGCCAATTTGTGTTAAAAACCCTATAATAAATCTAGTGAAGAGTAAGTTTCGTTAATAAAATCTAAGGCATTTCAATGCAGAGGGGCGATCCAAAAAGCTCCGTATAAAGCTCTCACTCTGCTTTAAAGGGTTTGAATCGGTCCTAAGTGCTTTTAATGAAAATTCAACCCCACTTGAGAAAAGCAACGAGTCAACAAAACACCACGTTCATTTGCTCGTTATACGGCCTATTTCCTTAAATTTTGTGATAAACGAGAGCTCAGGCGCGACAGAACGTACAATATGACATTCAAGCTGTTCACTTAACAAACAAGATGAGGTTTTTTCTGGAGCTTTTTTTTCAGAGTTCAAGAGCTCAACATGCGATTCTGAAAAAAGTAACTGTCCTCTTTTCCCAAATCTGCCATTCGGTCAAAACCATAAGACACTTGGATTTGATTACCAGACAAAGATTCCAACAACATTTGACGTACAGGAATCCTTTTATAACGGTTTTAGCATTTTACCATCCTTTCGTTGCCACCCGCTATTTTTGATAATCTCTGTGGAAGCGAAAGGTCAAGACGTAATTGGACAGGTTTTTGTTCACATAAAAACAGATTTTTATAGATTGGAAGAGGACAGTGCGTAGTGACCGATGAAATCAATGAAACGGCCAGCGGTGTTAGTTTATTTTGATTCACAGCAACAGCTTTTTACACACCTTTTTTTCCACAAAATCGCTATTTACCATGCGGTGAAAAGGTCAAGTGAACAATTTCATGGAGTTATGTAGAAGCGACAAACTTAGAACAGTGCAGAATGAAATCATTGGCGACGCACTGGACGGGCCCCGTGCGATCATGCGTTTTTGCAGTGTTTCGTGCTGTAATAAGATCACTCGAAATCTCGCCAGCTAGAAACCTCTTGTACACATTGGTCCTCGAATTCCGGAAAGCTATGTAAGCTATAATTGAACAGGAAAAATTCCTTAGAAATCCCAGGCTCCCAGCTTTCTTAGTTCCCAAGTTACCCGAATTCCAGCCATAAAATTTCACGGGGCCGCACGTGGTAACCACCCATAATGGGGCGCTGAATTTAATAAATTGAAGTTGTAGATGAGACGGGAACATTTCCTGAAAGTTTCAGCCTCCCAGCTTTCATGGTTCCGGAGTTAGCCATTTTCGCGTCAGAAAATTCCACGGGTTCGTACGTGGCAAACACGCATAATGGGGGGCTGCATTTGATAAATTTAAGTTGTAGATGAGTTGGGAGCATTTCCTGAAAGTTTCAGCCTCCCAGCTTCTCTGGTTCCGGAGTTTCCGTTTTCCCGCCAAAAACTTTCACGAGTGATAACTATGCATAAAAGGAGGCTGAATTTGATAAATTTAATTTGTAGGTGAGTTGGGAACATTTTTTGTAAGTTTCAGCCCCCTAGCTTTCTTGGTTCTCGAGCTAGCGATTTTCGCGCCAGGAACCCTCACGGGTCCGTACTCGAAAACCAAGAACCCCCGGGGGCTGAATTTGAAATCTTTGAGTTCTACTTGGGCTGGAAACATAATTCCAAAATTTCAGCTCTCTAACTCTTCTGGTTCCCAAGCTAGCGATTCTCCCGCCAAAACTTTGAGGCTCTCATACGTGGGGCCTAGACGTGCTAGACGTGCTTGAGGGCTGGCACCTCGATCCTGGGGTGGCACTTGGCCGGGAACCCACTCGCAAAATTTTGGCGTCGGAACTTGCTTGGGTGCCGGGTTGAAACACGCGGACAGGCGCGCACACACACATACACACACATCGGGGTCATCACAATATGTTTTTGCATACTATGCAAAAACGCATTAAAAATGCCAGTTGCACCGAAAGTACTAAAATATACGAGGATGAGACGGTGCAAAGTTCGTCCGTGCTAGACTGAGGGGTAATGCGCTTTTCCATTACCTTCGTCTAGTCATTACCCTTACTTTTGCAAAGCAATTTTCTGAAACACATATTCTCAGCATTTGCAAAAAAGAGTGAAAATAACGTCCCAGTAATTATTGCTGCCCATGTAACTTTATCGGAATTGACAATCTAGCTGTGTGTCCCTCGTTTTCGCTCTTTCATTGTTCGTATAATAAGCCCTAATTTTGATTTTTTTTGGTCAATGTATACAACAAATGTATGTATACAACTAAAGAATGAAATGCATAACAAATGGCATAGGAATCACTCTAGTCTACCACCACAGTGTACCATTGCAGGTCTCCAGAAGTTTCAAGACGCTCCTTCGAGTTGCATCGCACGAGTATGAAAAGTTATTTGAAACAACAGAAAATTCGCATTCGCAAAACGAGGTTCTGGGAAATTTCATAGAGGAAGCCAGTTCTCAGAAAGAAACGTCTACCGCAGACGCGCATCTAGAAATGTCAGCGACTAAGCAGCGCCCGGATAGTGATGATATTGATACTGAATTCGACGATATTGATTTCGACCGTGTGGACCAAGATCGTCTAAAGCGAAAATGCCGAGAGTGGCAGGAAGAATTGCGAAAGACGAATCAAAAATTTAAAAGAGCTATTGATTGTATACTACATGAAGCCTCCATGGGTGAAACGAAAGTTTTTGTGCCTGTAACTCCATCATCTTCAAAACAGTAGATGTGTTTGTTACTATTCACCGTGTGGAACATTTTTCATGTTATTAACGCTAAGACTGCGCGAATTCTTGAGAATAAATTCGAAGGCTTTTTACGCTGTATCGACGCACTTACTGAAATGGGCTTTCTGAAAGCTGATAGAGTGCATCTTTCACATCGTATAATCTGTTCGTATAATACAGTCCCCAGGAAGCGGTATCTTTAGACATTTAAGAAAACTCGCCTTGGCCACAAAAGATGAACTTGTTCTTGGGTTTTGGCAACATTTGCGAAAACTGCAGTCATGTACAAGTGTCAGATTCTTATGCATATTTATGCAATTGTAAACCAAGGCTGGAACGCACCAGGCTCTCCGGTGCGAACATGAATTTTCGCACTAAAATCGCTGATTGCTATTAGTAGGAATGATCCCTACGCTGTAGCCTAACACTTGAGTCGTATTGGCGTGCTTTGATCCTTTCCGGCGTGCAGGAGGAAGGGCTTAAGTTGGGATGAAGGTGGTGCATTACAGAGCCGCACGGATACCCAGGTGCATGATTATCGGTTTTTATGCGTTTTTGCTGTGCAGCTACTGTCAGCAAAAACGCATATTGTCGAGAGGCTGTGTGTGTGTGTGTGTGTGCGTGTGTGTGCGCGGAAAGCGAGTGCATTTTGTCACCCACTTTCATCTCGGCAACCAGGAAAGCTGGGAGGCTGAAA